TGGCTGTGGCTGTCTGCAGGGCGTGGGGTGAGTTATTGTCCCGGGAACAATGCAGGGAACAGTCACACAGGGTCACCGCTGCTGCGCCACCCAGAGCCTTCAGGCCAGCGCTTCCAAAAGCATTGTAAAACAACCAAAAAAAAAAAAAAAAAAAAGAACAAAAAAAAAAGAGTTGGGTAAGCAGAAAAAGCAATGCCACCTCCTCCTGGAGTCATGGGACAGGAGCTGAGCTGTGGCAGCTCCAGCTGTGGGTTTCTCTGGGTCTGGATCGAAGGCACTTGAGGCACTGGTTCATGTTCAGACTCAGCTGTTCATTGTTTCTTCTCAGTAAAACAATTTCACAACTGTGAGCTCTGCAGCAAGGCACAACATGGCCACAATCTCCTGTTACAAGGACTTTTAAGACTAAACCATCCAATTAAGAGCTGACACCTGGATTATTTTTCCTTTTAACCCAATAACTGATCCCACAGAGCTGCAATGGGGACTTTTCTGCCCAATTACAAAATGCCACCAAACCCATGGAGAAGGAGGAAGAAGCAGCATGAAGGAGAAACCCAGCACAGCAGCCTGTGCCTCCATCTTGCTGCCATCCACAGCACACTAAAAATCCCAAAAACAAAACTGGGAGAATGAGTCAGGTCTGGATTGAAGGCACTTGAGTCATCACACTCAGGTGTTCATTATTTCTTATCAGTGAAACAGTCTCACTGCTGTGAGTTCTGCAGCTTTTCATTAGGAGGCACAAAATGGCCACAATCTCCTGTTCCAAGGACTTTTAAGACTAAACCATCCAATTAAGAGCTGACACCTGGATTATTTTCCATTTTAACCCAATAACTGATCCCACAGAGCTGCAATGGGGACTTTCCTGCCCAATTACAAAATGCCACCCAAATCCATGAAGAAGAAGCAGCGTGAAGGAGAAACCAGGACAGCCCCTGTGCCTCCATCTTGCTGCCATCCACAGCACACTAAAAACCCCAAATCCTCAATTTCTCACCCAGTGATGCACCTGCACTGCTCTCTGTAATCCATTTCACACTTTTGTGGGTTCCAGCCTATCCTGAAGTCTTTAGGAAACTTTCTCCATGGATGAGGGTCGGAGTCAGGGCTGCCCTGGGGTACCCCAGAGCAGACACAGAAACGTTCCCAGTGCCCTGGGTTTGCACTGAGTGAAGCCACAGGCAGCAATTCCCAAATTGTTGAGACCACAAAGAGCTGCCCACAGGATGTGGAAGGGAGCAGAGGCTTTGCTGGGCAAGAACTGTGGAGCCTGCAGAAATGTGGCCCTGCTTTTGGACGTGATTTCTGGGAAAATCATCCCTTTTTTCATCCATGGTGTGTGGGATCCAGCCCTTGAGGCCACCCAGGGCTGGGGAGCTTTGTGAGGGAAGGTTTGGAGCAGCACAGGGATAAATAAATCCCTTTGCAGCCCCTGCCCTGTGTCCTGGCCAGGGCTGCTGGAAGGGGCAGACGCTCCTCTGGCAGTCTTTTAAATGAAACTTCAACTTTTAACCATGGAAATGGTTAAAACCTTATTTATCTACTAAAAATCTCATTTACTTCTACTTTTAACTATGGAAATGGTTAAAACCTTATTTATCTATTAAAAATCTCATTTACTTCAACTTTTAACCATGGAAATGGTTGAAACCTTATTTATCTATTAAAAATCTCATTTACTTCCACTTTTAACCATGGAAATGGTTGAAACCTTATTTATCTACTAAAAATCTCATTTACTTCTACTTTTAACCATGGCAATGGTTAAAACCTTATTTATCTATTAAAAACCTCATTTATTTGGACTTTCCTTGCAAGGCCTCGCCTACACAAATACAACTTCAGGGAGTGTTTGTTCTTCTTTGGATAATTAAACCTCGAAGGGTCCTGCATCTGTTTCTACTCCTTTTTCTCTCCTGTGCCATAAATTCCTGCACATTTCTACACCTAAATCGCCATCTCATCCCTGTTTGCTGCAGTAAAACCTTACCCAAACTGTGGGGAATATGAGATTTGTTCATGTTGAGGTCTTTTGGGATTTTTTTGGGGGTAATTTCTCTACCTGGCTCTAATGTTGGGTTATTGTAAGAGGCTGTTTTATCTTCCTTTCAGCATGAGGTTGGCTGGAGGGAAATAAAGTGAGGCTCCTGTCTGGAGAACCTGCAAAATTTAAACTCCTGTGGGAGTTTTCAGGCATTGGTAAAGCATTAATAAGGATTAAAGAGTTTTCAGGTATTGGTAAAGCACTAATAAGGATTAAAGAGACAAATCAGGGGGTTGTAAATAAGATTTTTTTTTTCCTTAATAATGTTATGGAAAAGTTTGCACGGTGTGTGAGCTTGGTTATTGGGTCAGTGATGAATCAGCCCCAAATTATTTCTGATTTCTTTGAACAAATAAAGGGTGATGCGGGAATTTGTCACTATTCCACTGGATGTCTCCCTGGCCTTTCTCCCCATTTAGAAGAGGAGTTTATAAGCACAGGGCTCTTCCTCAAATCCACAGATAACTCCTGGGAGCAGCAAGAATCCCTCTAAGGCGTGAGCTCTGCTAAACCAAGCCTATCTAAACCAGAAAAGAACGAAAACTGCCATAATCTCGCAGAAAAAACCCATAATTTTACACGAAAAACCTCGATCAGGATTAAGCTTAAAAACCCCAAACACCTCCCGAGGTTGTGCACGGACCCTCAGAGCTCCACAGGGCCTGGAAAAAGCGGCAGATGTGGCGTGAATGTCCCGGTTGCGGCGCCTAAATTAAGATTATTGATCAGCGATGTGGCAGTGGCGGCGCTAATGAGGGCAGCCCGCAGCAACGCGAGCTGCAGGGAAAAGCTGGATCCGTCCTGGGCAGGAATTGTGATTGAATTTGGCAGATGGAGCCTCGAGAGCAGCGGATCCAGTGATAAACTGGATTGTTTCTCCCTTTAAAGCAAGCAGCTGATGTGGCTGGGAAGGAGCTCTCACTGGGGGAGAGCTGAAGGCTCCGCCTGTCCTAAAATTCTGAATATTTCATGGAGTGGATGATAATTCTTGGTAAAGTGTTCGGGAAGGAGAAATTGAATCCCCGAATCTCAGCAGCTGAGGGGTGGCTGTGGTAACTCGGAGGCAGAGCTGAGGGTGGGAGCAGGGATAGAAGGAATTTTCTAAAAGTTGCTCCTGAAGAAATGGAAAAAAACGAGGGAGAGTCACGTTGGGTGTCAATTTTCCGTCTGCTTTTCACTTGAAGGTTCAGGATCCACTGTTTAAATAGCATAAAAGTATATCAATAGTACATAATAATATTAAAAACACAGGAATAAATCCAGCCTGAGTAACTGGAACCTCTTGTGCTGCTGCTGTGTCCTCCAGGACTGTGTGTCCAGCCACACGTGGCACTTCCCAGTGCTCTGAACTTCCCCAGTTTTCAGCACTTTCGCAATATTTGGCCCGGGAAGCAAAATATTTAAATATTTCCTCCCACTTCATTTCACAGGGGAAAAAAAAAAAAAGAAAAGAAACAGTTTTAGGGTTTTGTTTTGAACAGCAAAACTGCAGAACAACTCCAGAGAAGATCTGCACCCCACGGGCAAAGGGCGGCAGAGCCCCAGGGAAATCTGGGTGGGGAATTTTTGCTTTTGACCCCAAGGCCTGGAGCCTTCCCTCGCTCTGATCTTTGGGGTCAGTTTGACTGAGTTGGGGCTCCCCATGCCGGCCCCACGTTTCCAAGCTGGAGATGGGCACAGCCAGGAGCTGCTGGTGAATTTTTGCTCAGTTTTCAGTGGATGCGGAGCAGAAGCTCGAGCAGACAGCGCCGGAGGCAGCGCTGGCCCCACACCCCATGTGCAGCATCTCCGGGGCCGCTTTTGGGGCCCGCCCGGCCCTTTTGGGGCATTTGTCTCGCATCCCACGGGCTCTGCTTCCCTCTGGCGGCTTCGCTCGGCGCTTCCCTTTTTGTTTCTTTTTTAGATCCTGACAGACCAAAAAAAAGCTCATAGGGTTTGGGGTTTTTTTTGGCGCTGCTATTCAAAGTTACTTCCCAATCCTACTTATTCCACGCTTTTCTTAAGTTTAACCCTCTTCTTCCCAGGCTGGTTTCTTATTTCTGATATTCATAATATTTCTGATATAAATAATATTTCTGATATGCATAATATTTCTGATATATATATTTTTCGGAATACATAATATTTCTAATAAATATCTTTCTGATATACATAATATTTCTGATGTATATATTTCTGATATGCATAATATTTCTTATATAGATATCTTTCAGAATACATAATATTTCTAATAAATATCTTTCTGATATACATAATATTTCTAATAAATATCTTTCTGATATACATAATATTTCTGGTATATATTTCTGATATGAATAATATTTCTGATATGTATTTCTGATATGCATAACATTTCTGACAAACATAATATTTCTGACATATAGATATTTCTGATAAACATAATATTTCTGATATATATATTTCTGATATACATAATATTTCTGGTATATATATTTCTGATATGCATAATATTTCTGATATATTTATTTCTGATATACATATTTCTGATATACATAATATTTCTGGCATATAGATATTTCAGATATACATAATATTTCTGATATCTATATTTCTGATAAACATAATATTTCTCACATTTATATATTTCTGATATACAGTATTTTGAAGCATTTCCATATTCTTTCATGGTGTTAAATTGAAGCTGCTTGTCCCAAGCTCCCATTCTAAAAACCCCAAAAAATCTATTTATCACCCCGTGACAAACTAACTCTTATTCTACTTAAACTTTCTTGACTTGCAATTCTCCATATAAGGTTGGTAATTGTTTTTTCCAAGGGCTCAATCAAAGGCACAGGGGTGTCTGGGGCTCTGTGCCAGGGTCTCTGAGCCCCCTGGGCAGGGTCTCGAGCCCTCCAGGGCAGCCAGAGCAATTCCCTGTGTTCTGACACCTGGCCAATTTGGAGATTGAAATTTGAAATTTGTCTTCCAGCTTCCTGTTCCGTTTGGCTCAGCGAGGCTCAGACCGAGTTCAAGAGGGTGGCAGAAGAAAACGTGACCCTGCCCTGCCACCACCGCCTGGGGCTGCTGGAGCAGGGCAGCCTGGACATCGAGTGGCTGCTGCACATCTCCGAGACCGTGCAGAAAGCGGTGGGTTTGCTCAGAAAATCACTTTATTTCTGCCCTCACGCCACCAGGCCTCCATCTCCCAGCGCTGCTGTGATGATCCTTGCAGGCTGCTCTGATTAGGGGAGCAGGGTTTGGGGAAACAAAGCTGATTTAGAGAGATTTAGAATGAGATTTAGAAAGTTATTCTATGTCTAACGTGGATCAGGTTGGGTCACAATGGATTTTTTAATTTTTTAATATAGTCAGTCTTCATTAGGTCAGGTTCAGAAGTGCCCTTCAGGCTTTCAAAATGGGGAAACAAAGCTGATTTAGAGAGATTTAGAATGAGATTTAGAAAGTTATTCCATGTCTAATGTGGATCAGGTTGGGTCACAATAGATTTTTTTAATTTTTTTTTAATGTAATCAGTCTTCATTAGGTCAGGTTCAGAAGTGCCCTTCAGGCTTTCAAAATGGGGAAACAAAGCTGATTTAGAGAGATTTAGAATGAGATTTAGAAAGTTATTCCATGTCTAACGTGGATCAGGTTGGGTCACAATGGATTTTTTTAATTTTTTTTTTAATGTAGTCAGTCTTCATTAGGTCAGGTTCAGAAGTGCCCTTCAGGCTTTCAAAATAACCTTGGCTTTTGCAGGCCCAGTTTTTGAATCCTTGGTTTCAGGACAACACAGATGTGAAAAACGCCAATCACTTGTTTTTAGAATTTTAAAAGTTTAATGGCAATAAAATGGTGATAAAAATAGTAATACAATTAGAGTAATAATAATTTGGACAATTTGAATTAGGACAATACGAGACAATAGAAACACAGAGTTATGGACAGTCTGGGTAGCTTTTTCTGGGCAAAATAAACCTGAAAAAGGACCCACGTTAACAGAGGATTAACCCTTAAAAGCAGCAGCCTGTTGATATTCATACACCTCATGCATGATGCAGAAATTCCATTCAAACCCAGGATTCTGGCTGGGCAGGGTCAGCTTCTTCCTCGGAATCCTGACAGCGTTTTCCTGCCTCAGTGAGGCAGGCAGAAGTTCATTTCTGCTGATAATGAGGCAATAAATTCTCTTTCTCTGAAAGATTCAGGTGTCCTGTGGCTGCTGTCTCAATGCAAATCCTTTCTTTAGGAAAAAAGTATCCTACATAACGTATTTTCTCTTTTAACATTTTGTTATAACCTAAAACTGTATTTACTACACTACTTAAGAGCATTAATCCAGCATCACTTTCTAACACAACACATCTAATATTCATTTTCATATTTGAGAAAAGCCAATCATAAAATACATGCATTTCTCACAACACAGTGGTTTAGCCCTTATAAAAATGAGGTCTGCAGGGACTTCAGTTAGCACAGCCAAAGCTCCACGCTGCTTTGATGTGTTGTGGCACAAACTGATGCCTGTTTCCACACTTGTGCAGTGCCCAATAGAAACCTCCAGCAGAAATAAATGCACTTTTTGCACCATTCTCAGGACAGAACCCAGGTTTTCTTCCCCACCCTGCCCCAGGCTTCCCGGGTGACCCTTGCCAAGTCACTCCCCTGAGATGTGCAGCTCCTGGGAATGCTCAGATTTGCTGTTCCACGTGAGGATAAAACAGCAGCTCACTGTCTGCTCTGCTCCCAGGTGATCACCTACTCTGGGGGCCGTGTTTATGATGACCTGAACGAGGAGCAGAAGGGCCGCGTCTCCTTCACCTCCAACTTCCTGGCGGGAGATGCATCCCTGCAAATCATCTCCCTGCAGTCCAGCGACGCGGGGAAATACATCTGCAAGGTCAAGAACGCCGGCCAGTACGAGTGGGCTCGCATCACCCTCAAGGTCGTGGGTAAGGACAGCTCCTTGTTCTTCCAAAAGGGGAAAAAAAGGAGAAATCCAGACTCAGTTCCTTGGGAGAGATTGGTTTCAGCAGGGTAGATGTCGGGTCCGGCTGTCTGTCTCTGCCCCAACACAGGTAGGGTGGTTCTTTGGTGGGCGCGATGCAAAGGACGAGTCTGGACTCTTCAGCTTTCGGTCTTCAGATTGTTTATTATTTCTTATCTACAAAATTTTTCTGTCTGCCCAACAGAGGTCTGATCTGCAAGCAGTCACAGGCACTCTCTGACCACCCACGGGGCGGTCATGTCTTTTTATACTAAAACCTACGTATACAATATTTACCTTTATTTCCCAATGCTTTTCACCCATGTTAGCAAGTGCACCTTCACCAGAAACCAATCCCCAAGTGCCAACATCATCACAGGAGATGGAGGACAAGAAGAAAGAAGAAGGACGGGACACGCCCTGATCCCTCCATCTTGTCTCCATAACCCCCCTGTACCAAAAACCTTAAAGTCTATATCTCACCCTCTAAATGTGTCTCTTTTACACCTTGTACTCTAAAGTGATTCTCTTGTCCTCAGACTCTTGTTACTTCTGTGGATGGATCAAAATCAAGCCACCAAACACTCTTGGCAACATTCCAGGGTTTTCGAGACCCCCAAGGGTTCTCCTGGCATCTCTGGACATCGGGAATGATGTGCTGAGATCCCACAGGTAGAAATACACTGAGACACCTCAAGATAGGGTTTCAGTGCTCAACTGGATATCTTCCTTTGTGGTTTTTGGCTACAGAAAGAGCCTAAAGATCTGGTCTGAGGTTGGTGTGATAGCACTGAACCCTAAAACAAATCCATAAGCATCATCTCAGGCACAATGGCTCCGCCATGAAAATATCAAAGTTCCCATCTGATTACATCTCTAGTAGGTTTCTGCCTAACATTTTCTGGCTCACATCACCCTCAAGGTTGTGGGTAAGGACAGCTCCTTGTTCTTCCAAAGGGAAAAAAAAGGAAATCCAGACTCAGTTCCTTGGGAGAGATTGGTTTCAGCAGGGTAGAAATACACTGAGACACCTCAAGACTGGGTTTCAGTGCTCAGCTGGATATCTGCCTTTGTGGTTTTTGGCCACAGGAAGAGCCTAAAGAACTGGTCTGAGGTGTGAGAGCACTGAACCAAGTACTGAACCCTCAAAAAAATTCATAAGGATCATCTCAGGCACAATGGCTCCATCAAGGTTCCCATCTGATTACAAATCTTCCAGCAGATTCCTGCCTAGCACAAAGACACCTCAAACTGGATTTTAAAGAACTGGTCTGAGGTTGGTGTACTGGACTAAGTACTGAACCCTAAAACAAATCCATAAGGATCATCTCAGGCACAATGGCTCCATCATGAAAACATCAAAGTTCCCATCTGATTACACTGCTAGTAGGTTTCTGCCTAGCACAGACACCTCAAGACTGGGTTTCAGTGCTCAGCTGGATATCTGCCTTTGTGGTTTTTGGCCACAGGAAGAGCCTAAAGAACTGGTCTGAGGTTGGTGTGATAGCACTGAACCCTAAAACAAATCCATAAGGATCATCTCAGGCACAATGGCTCCACCATGAAAACATCAAAGTTCCCATCTGATTACATCTCTAGTAGGTTTCTGCCTAACATTTTCTGGCTCGCATCACCCTCAAGGTTGTGGGTAAGGACAGGTCCTTGTTCTTCCAAAGGGAAAAAAAGGAGAAATCCAGACTCAGTTCCTTGGGAGAGATTGGTTTCAGCAGGGTAGAAATACACTGAGACACCTCAAGATAGGGTTTCAGTGCTCAGCTCAATATCTGCCTTTTCATTTTCTGGCCACAGGAAGAGCCTAAAGAACTGGTCTGAGGTGTGAGAGCACTGAACCAAGTACTGAAACCTCAAAAAAATTCATAAGGATCATCTCATGCACAATGGCTCCATCAAGGTTCCCATCTGATTACAAATCTTCCAGCAGATTCCTGCCTAGCACAAAGACACCTCAAACTGGATTTTAAAGAACTGGTCTGAGGTTGGTGTACTGGACTAAGTACTGACCCCTAAAACAAATTCATAAGGATCATCTCAGGCACAATGGCTCCATCATGAAAACATCAAAATTCCCATCTGATTACATCTCTAGTAGGTTTCTGCCTAGCACAAAGACACTGCAAGATCTTTATGAAGGAAAAGGAAAGGAAAGGAAAGGAAAGGAAAGGAAAGGAAAGGAAAGGAAAGGAAAGGAAAGGAAAGGAAAGGAAAGGAAAGGAAAGGAAAGGAAAGGAAAGGAAAGGAAAGGAAAGGAAAGGAAAGGAAAGGAAAGGAAAGGAAAGGAAAGGAAAGGAAAGGAAAGGAAAGGAAAGGAAAAGGAAAAAATGAAAGAGAAGAAAGGAAAATGGAAAAAGGAGTTTTAGTCCCCTAAAATCATCACTGGTGCGATTCCTTCGCGCATTCCAGGGAAGGCAGATCTTTGTGAAGCTGTTTAAATGCCAAATGGAAGTTTCCAGAGAGCAAGCTCTGCTGTGATGCCCTGACCTGTGTTCTCCTTGCAGAGAAACCCTCCAAGCCCAAGTGCTGGCTGGAGGGGGAGCTGCTGGAGGGGAAGGAGCTGTCCCTGCAGTGCCGCTCCGCCTCGGGCACGGCCCCCATCTCCTACCGCTGGCAGCGCCTCAGCGAGGAGGGCGAGAGGGCGGAGCAGCTGCCGCCCGGCTCCAGAGTCAGTGAGTGCGGGCTGGGCTTGCCTCGAGGCTGGGATCGCGGGGGGATGCTCCAACCCTGCTCCAACAGTGCTCCAACCGTGCTCCAACCCTGCTCCAACCCTGCTCCAACCCTGCTCCAACCCTGCTCCAACACTGCTCCAACCCTGCTCCAACACTGCTCCAACGCTGCTCCAACAGTGCTCCAACGCTGCTCCAACAGTGCTGCGGCTGTGCCGGGGGCTGCTCCACCTCTCCCCCTTCCTTCATTTCTCCTCTCTTTCCCCCTTCTTTCCCCCTTCTTTCTCCTTTCTTTCTTCCTTCTTTCCTCTCCTTTCTCCCTTCTTTCTCCTTTCTTTCCTCCTTTCCTTCCCCCTTATTTCTCCCTTCTTTCCCTTTTCTTTCTCCCTTCTTTCTTCCTTCTTTTCCCCCTCTTTCTCCCTTCTTCCCTCTTCTTTCTTCCTTCTTCCCTCTTCTTTCTTCCTTCTTTTCTCTTTCTTTCCCCCTTCCTTCTTCCTTCCTTCTTCCCTCTTCTTTCCTCCTTCTCACTCCCTTTTTTGTCCCTTCTTTCTCCCTTCCTCCTTCTTCCCCCTTTTTTCTTCTTTCCTCCCCCCCGTGGCATTTTTCCGGAGCTGATTTCACCCCACAGATCAATTCGCTCCTCTCTGCACTGCCCACAGCTGAAATTCCTCCCTCCGTCTGATTAACCCCAGCGGTGTTTTCCCCTCGCAGACATCTCGAACCCCGGGCAGGTTCTGCTGAAGAACCTGACGCAGATGAGCACGGGGCTGTACCAGTGCGTGGCCACCAACGAGGCGGGGCAGGAGAGCTGCGTGCTGCAGGTGACGGTGCAGCGTAAGTACCGCCCTGGGCAGGGACAGACACACAGACACCCCTGATGGCCACAGAGGGGACACGGCAGAGATTTATTGAAATGTGGGTATTGATCCAGCACTGGTATCCAACTGCGAGGGACAAAAACTCTCTGAGTTTGGAGTTAGAAAGTGTTTGTTTATTGTGGGATAGCTCCCAAATACACAGCACAATTTACAGGTGATCACAGAGCCCTTTTATCTGTACAGGTATTGAATACCCAAAATACAAATACATGTTCATAACTTTGGTACATCCCATTCCCAATATGGATATTGATCTAGTACCAATATCCAAAAACTCTTTAAAATTTTGGAGTTACAAAGTGTTTGTTTATTGTAGGATAGCTCCCAAATACACACTGCAATTTACGGGTGATTACAGAGCCCTTTTATCTGTTACAAGTGTTACAGGTATTGAATACCCAAAATACAAATACATGTTCATAACTTTGGTACATCCCATTCCCAATATGGATATTGATCCATATATCCAAAAACCAATATCCAAAAACTCTCGAACAGTTTAGAGTTAGAAAGTGTTTGTTTATTGTGGGATAGCTCCCAAATACACAGCACAATTTACAGGGGATTACAGAGCCCTTTTATCTGTACAAGTATTGAATACCCAAAATACAAATACAGGTTCATAACTTTGGTACATCCCGTTCCCTACTCTGTATGGTAATTAGTTCAAAAGTCATTAAGCATGGTAATTAGTTCAAAAGCCATTAAGCATGCGCAGTTTGTTCCTTGAAATGGGTCGGTGGTGCCTTTCATGGGGAGGGGTCCCAAAATGAGGAAGTAAACGCAGGATAACTTGCAGGACAAAAAGTAAATTTTGACATAATTTAATCAGGTTTAGCCCTTTGTGTCCTGAGCAGCAGAGGCCAAAATCGCCCGAGGAGCCCCCCGAGGGTGTGTGCAGCCCTGGGCAGGGTGTCCTTCACACCTGCACACCGGGAAAGGGTGGAGGTCATCACCCCAATACAAACAATGGCGTTCAGCAGCTCCCGAAGCTGGACCTGCTGTGAGAAGGCTCCTAACAGAGAAGTCTCCTCCTGGAGGTTCCGCAGCTTTGGAATTTTTCTGCCCAGCCAAGCCTGAAATAACTGGAATATGGAATAAGGAAAACTGGTTTGCCCCAGGCATGTGAAGTGAAAGCGCCCAGGCGGCTTTTCTGGCAATTGGACTGAACTGGTTTAAAACCTCGCTTGGCTTTGCTAAACCCTCCCCAGGGACTGAGTTTAAGGAAACACCTTTCAGCCAGGCCCAGCCTGACCACTTCCATCCAAAAAGGTTGTCACAAACTATTTTCCATCACAAACATTTCCCATCACCCTTGGGAAATGTTCCCTCATTACTCGGCGGGTTTGGATGGAAAAGGCCCTGCCCACGATGGTTTCCTCTCCTGCTTTGTCTGCCTCAGCCAGGTCACTTTCCCTCCACATTTGAATAATTAAATAATTTCAGAATAGGGCTGTAATCATTCAAGGGGAGTTGAAGGAGGGAACAAAATCCTCATGGGGAAACATTAAGAGATTAAACATTCCTCTGCCATCACCTCTGCCCCGGGTGCTGCCTTGGGTGCTGTGTTCCACACAGGGGCTGCCCTGGCTTTGTGTTTTCTGTGTTTTCACACTCTTAGAAGGGGATTTTTCCTCCTTATTTCAACTCCAATTTCAGAATAGGGCTGTAATCATTCAAGGGGAGTTGAAGGGGGGAAAAAAGTCCTCATGGGGAAATATTAAGAGATTAAAAATTCCTCTGCCTTGGGTGCTGCATTCTACACAGGGGCTGTCCTGCCTTTGTGTTTGCTGTGATTTTTCCTACTTATTTCAACTCCAATTTCAGAATAGGGCTGTAATCATTCAAGGGACTTGAAGGTGGGAACAAAATCCTCATGGGGAAACATTAAGAGATTAAAAATTCCTCTGCCTTGGGTGCTGCATTCTACACAGGGGCTGCCCTGGCTTTGTGTTTTCTGTATTTTCACACTCTTAGAAGGGGATTTTTCCTCCTTATTTCAACTGCAATTTCAGAATACGGCTGTAATCATTCAAAGGGAGTTGAAGGGGGGAACAAAATCCTCATGGGGAAACATTAAGAGATTAAAAATTCCTCTGCCATCACCTCTGCCCTGGGTGCTGCCTGGTGCTCTGTTCCACACAGGGGCTGCCCTGCCTTTGTGTTTGCTGTGATTTTTCCTCCTTATTTCAACTCCAATTTCAGAATAGGGCTGTAATCATTCAAAGGGAGTTGAAGGGGGGAAAAAAGTCCTCATGGGGAAATATTAAGAGATTAAAAATTCCTCTGCCTTGGGTGCTGTGTTCCACACAGGGGCTGCCCTGCCTTTGTGTTCGCTGTGATTTTTCCTCCTTATTTCAACTCCAATTTCAGAATAGGGCTGTAATCATTCAAAGGGAGTTGAAGGGGGGAAAAAATCCTCATGGGGAAATATTAAGAGATTAAAAATTCCTCTGCCTTGGGTGCTGTGTTCCACACAGGGGCTGCCCTGCCTTTGTGTTTGCTGTATTTTTACACTCTTAGAAGGGGATTTTTCCTCCTTTTTTCAACTGCAATTTCAGAATAGGGCTGTAATCATTCAAGGGGAGTTGAAGGGGGGAAAAAAGTCCTCATGGGGAAACATTAAGAGATTAAAAATTCCTCTGCCTTGGGTGCTGCATTCTACACAGGGGCTGCCCTGTCTTTGTGTTTGCTGTATTTTCACACTCTTAGAAGGGGATTTTCCCTCCTTATTTCAACTCCAATTTCAGAATAGGGCTGTAATCATTCAAAGGGAGTTGAAGGGGGAAAAAATCCTCATGGGGAAACATTAAGAAATTAAAAGCTCCTCTGCCTTGGGTGCTGTGTTCCACACAGGGGCTGCCCTGTCTTTGTGTTTGCTGTGATTTTTCCTCCTTATTTCAACTGCAATTTCAGAATAGGGCTGTAATCATTCAAGGGGAAGGGGGGAAAAATATCCTCATGGGGAAACATTAAGAAATTAAAAATTCCTCTGCCTTGGGTGCTGCATTCTACACAGGGGCTGCCCTGTCTTTGTGTTTGCTGTATTTTTACACTCTTAGAAGGGGATTTTCCCTCCTTTTTTCAACTCTGCCCCACAGCTGAAGGCCCAGCTCCTGTGGTTTCACCTTTGCTTCACTCCCTGCCAGCTCAGCTTAGCTGGAGATAAACTGGTTCCACTTCTGTGTGGAGACACACCTCAAAAATGAACTCCAGCGTGCTGCCCCGAGTTATTCCCTATTCCCTTGCAGCACGGACTAAAAACTCACCACGCCAACAAGGGCTCACCAATAAATCTGGGTTTTTTTTGCACAACAGATGCACAAAACATCAGCATGATCGCCGGGGCGGTGTGCGGAGTGGTGGTGGGGCTCTGCCTCCTCTTCCTGGTGGTGAGGCTGACCATAAGGAGGAAAGAAAAGAAGAGATACGAGGAGGAGGAGGCACCCAACGAGATCAGGTAACGCCTTTCGGTTAATGCCGCCTCCCACACTCCCTGCCCGCACTTTCCCACCGCGGTTTTTACCAAGTGCAAGCAGCTTGGAGCGTCCTCGCAGGTCGCTCTAAAAAGCTTTTTTTTAAAAGTCTCTGTGAAACATCGCGGGCAAATTTCGTGACTGTGAGGATCTTTGTGAAGACTTCCCGGAAATTCGGATTAAAGTCACCCCTCCTCTCCCCCGGCAAATTAGCACGAACCTCACCCAGCCGTGCTCTCTCTCATTTGTAATTTCGGTATTTTGAAGCATTTGCATATTCTTTCATGGTGTTAAATTGAAGCTGCTTGTCCGCCGTGGTTCTGAGAGGGTTTGGGGCTGGTTTCCTTTCCTTCTCTCTTTTCTCTGTCCTTCCTTTCTTTCCCACTCTTCTTCCCTCACTTCTCCTCTTCTTTCCCCCCTCTTCCCACCTTCTTTCCCCTTTCTTTCCCCCTATTTTCTCCCTTCTTTTCCCCCTCTTCCCACCTTCTTTTCATCTTCTTTCTTCCTCCCTTCTTTCCTTCTTCTTTCCCCCTCTTTCTACCTTCTTTTCACCTTCTTTCTTTCTTTCCTCTTTCCCCCTTCTTTCTTCCTTCTTTTCCCTTCTTCCCACCCTCTTTCTCCCATTTCTCTCTTATTTTCCCTCTTTTCCCTTCTTTTCTCCTCTTCTCCTCTCTCCTTCTTTCCTCTTTCATTTTTTCTTCCTTCTTTCCACCTCTTCTTCCCTTCTTTCCCGATCTTTTTTCCCCCATTTCCCCCTTTTTCCTCCCTTCTTTTCCCCCTTTTTCCTCCCTTCTTTCCCCCTCCTTTTCCCCTACTTCATCCCTTCTTTCCCCCTTCTTTCCCCACCTTTTTTCCCCCATTTCCCTCCCTTCTTCCTCCCTTCTTTCCCCCTTCTTTCCCCACCTTTTTTCCCCCATTTCTCTCCCTTCTTTTCCCCCTTCTTCCTCCCTTCTTTCCCCACATTTTTCCCCCATTTCCCTCCCTTCTTTCCCCCTCCTTTTCCCCTACTTCCTCCCTTCTTTTCCCCCTTCTTCCTTCCTTCTTTTCCCCTTCTTTCCCCACATTTTTCCCCCATTCCCTCCCTTCTTTCCCCCTCCTTTTCCCCTTTTTCCTCCCTTCTTTCCCCCTTCTTTTCCCCCTTCTTCCTTCCTTCTTTTCCCCTTCTTCCTCCCTTCTTTCCCCACATTTTTCCCCCATTTCCCCCCCTTCTTCCTCCCTTCTTTCCCCCTTTTCCCTCTCATTTCCAGCTCCTATCTGGCCCACAGTTCAGCCACATTCTCTGAGCCCTCCTTGAGCTTTTGGAACAACTGCTCTCCCGGATTTAGCTCTGGATGAGGCAGAGGGGGAGCAGGAGCGCTGCCTCCCGTTCCTGGAGCTCATCCCTTCCCCGCCCCTGAGCTCCCCTAAGCCGAGCCTGGGCTCCAGCCAAGCCAGCCTGAGCTCCTCAGGAAGGAAAGCGCTGGAAAATCTATTTCCAGGAATGACTCTGAGCTGCTGCTGCTGCCTCCGAGAAACAAACCCTGATCCATCTTTAGGTCCCTCTGCGCGGCCACCTGGCCTCGTGTGACATCTCTGCCCCGCCAGGCGCTCCTGTAATCCCCTCAGCTGCTGATCCCTCTCAGCTCGTTCATCTTCTCTCCCCTTCTTTTTCCTCTTCTTTCTCCCTTCCTTCCCCTGCTTTTCTCCCTTCTTTCCCCCTTCTTACCCTCCCCTTCTTTTTCCTCTTCTTCCCCTTTCTTTTTCCTGTTTCTTCCCCTTTCTTTTTCCTCTTCTTCCCCCTTCTTTTTCCTCTTCTTTCTCCCTTCCTTCCCCTGCTTTTCTCCCTTCTTTCCCCCTCCTTACCCTCCCCTTCTTTTTCATCTTCTCCCCTTCTTTTTCCTCTTCTTTCTCCCTTCCTCCCCTGCTTTTCTCCCTTCTTTGCCCCTTCTTACTCTCCCCTTCTTGTTCATTTTCTCTCCCCTTCTTTTTCCTATTCTTTCTCCTTTCTTTCCTCTGCTTTTCTCCCTCTTTTCCCCCTTCTTTTTCCTCTTCTTTCTCCTTTCTTTCCCCACTTTTCTCCCTATTTTCCCCCTTCTTACCCTCCCCTTCTTTTTCATCTTCTCCCCCTTCTTTTCCCTTTCTTTCTCCTCTGCTTTCCCCCTTCTTTCTCCTCTTCTTTTTCCTTTTTTCCCCCACTTTTCTCCCTATTTTCCCACTTCTTACCCTCCCCTTTTTCCCCCCCTTCTTCCCCATTCTTTTCCCTCTTCTTTCTCCCTTCTTTCCCCCACTTTTCTCCTTCCTTTCCCCCATTTTTCTCCCTATTTCCCCCCTTCTTACCCTCCCCTTCTTTTTCATCTTCTCTCCCCTTCTTTTCCCTTTCTTTCTCCTTTCTTTCCCCTGCTTTTCTCCCTCTTTTCCCCCTTCTTTCTCCTCTTCTTTCTCCTTTCTTTCCCCACTTTTCTCCCTATTTTCCCCCTTCTTACCCTCCCCTTCTTTTTCATCTTCTCCCCCTTCTTTTCCCTTCCTTTCTCCTCTGCTTTCCCCCTTCTTTTTCCTTCTTTCCCCCACTTTTCTCCTTTCTTTCCTCCATTTTTCTCTCTATCTCCCCCCTTTTTACCCTCCCCTTCTTTTTCATCTTCTCTCCCCTTCTTTTCCCTTTCTTTCTCCTTTCTTTCCTCTGCTTTTCTCCCTCTTTCCCCCCTTTTTTTTCTCTTCTTTCCCCCTTCTTACCCTCCTCTTCTTTTCCCTCTTTTCCCCCTTCTTTTTCCTATTCTTTCTCATTTCTTTCCCCTGCTTTTCTCCCTTCTTTCCCCCTTCTTTTTCCTCTTCTTTCTCCTTTCTTTCCCCAATTTTCTCCCTATTTCCCCCCTTCTTACCCTCCCCTTCTTTTTCATCTTCTCTCCCCTTCTTTTTCCTATTCTTTCTCCTTTCTTTCCTCTGCTTTTCTCCCTTCTTTTCCCCTTCTTTTTCATCTTCTCCCCCTTCTTTTCCCTTTCTTTATCCTCTTCTTTTTCCTTTCTTTCCCCCACCTTTCTCCCTATTTTCCCACTTCTTACCCTCCCCTTTTCCCCCTTCTTTCTCCCTTCTTTCCCCCACTTTTCTCCTTTCTTTCCCCCATTTTTCTCACTATTTCCCCCCTTCTTTTTCATCTTCTCCCCCCTTCTTCCCCCCTCTCCCCCCATTCCTCCCCAAGGCAATCTCTGCCGGTTCCTTCCCCTTTTCCTGTCTCTGGTATCACCTTTCACGCCTGCCCGTTCCATCCTCCCGCTCCTTGTCCCTCTCTCTCCGCCAGGCCCCGCTTGTGGCGCCTCTCTCGGTGCCCACGGGGCTGTTTTGGGGTGGATGAACCGGTTCCAGGCCGTCCTGCCCAGCCCGTTTGCGGTTCAGAGCCCACACAGAGCCGGGTGTGAGCAGCGTGTGTTTATTCCAGACTGATTCACCCACACGGGGCGATGGGAGTTCAGTCCATGGAGTTACACAGCAGAGTTCGGACAGTTTGCAGGGCATTCAATGAATCCCCCCTTTCTTTCCCCCAGCAAATTAGCACCAACTCTTTGCTCTCGCGTTTGTGAGGTCGGTATTTTGAAGAATTTGCATATTCTTTTATGGTGGTAAAACTGCTTGTCCGTTGTGGTTCTGAGACGGTTTGGGGGTGGTTTTCTTTCCTTCTTTCTTTTTTTTTTTTTTTTTCCTTTATTTCCCCCTCTTCTTCCCTTCTTTCCCCCCTTCTTACCCTCCCTTCTTTTTCCTCTTATTTCTCCTTTTTCCTCTGCTTTTCCCCCTTCTTTTTCCTTTTATTTCCTCCTTCTTTTTTCCTTTTATTTCTCCTTCTTTTTCCTCTTCTTTCTCTTATTTTCCCCCACTTTTCTCCCATTTCCCCCCTTCTTACCCTCCCCTTCTTTTTCATCTTCTTCCCCCTTTTTTTTCCTCTGCTTTCCCCCTCCTTTTTCTTCTTCTTTCTCCCTTCTTTCCCCCACTTTTCTCCCTTCTTTCCCCCACTTTTCTCCCCTTCTTTTTCCTCTTATTTTCCCCTTCTTTTTCCTGTTCTTTCTCCTCTGCTTTCCCCCTCCTATTCCCTCTTATTTCTCCCTTCTTTCCCCTGCTTTTCTCCCTTCTTACCCTCCCCTTCTTTTTCATCTTCTTCCCCTTTCCTTTTCCTCTTCTTTCTCCCTTCTTTCTCCTCCGCTTTCCCCCTTCTTTTTCTCTTCTTTCTCCTTTGCATTTCCCCTTCTTTTTCCTCTTCTATCTCCTTTCTTTCCTCCACTTTTCTCCCTTCTTTCCCTCTTACCCTCCCCTTCTTTCTCCCTGCTTTTCTTCCTTCTTTCCCCCTTCTTACTCTCCCCTTCTTTTTCCTCTTCTTCCCCCATCTTTTTCCTCTTCTTTCTCCTCTGCCTTCCCTCTTCTTTCTCCTCTTCTTTCTCCCTTCTTTTTCCTCTTCTTCTCCCTTCCTTTTTCCTCTACTTTCCATCTTCTTTTTCCTCTTCTCCCCCCTTCCTTTTCCCCTTCTTCCTCCCTTCTTTTTCCTCTTCTCCCCCCTTCCTTTTCCCTCTTCTTTCCCCCTTCTTTTTCCTCTTCTTTCTCCTCTGCCTTCCCTCTTCTTTTTCCTCTTCTTTCTCCTCTTCTTCCTCCCTTCTTTTTCCTCTTCTCCCCCCTTCCTTTTTCCTCTTCTTTCCCCCTTCTTTTTCCTCTTCTTTCTCCTCTTCTTTCTCCTCTGCTTTCCCCCTTCTTTTTCCTCGTCTCCCCCTTCCTTTTCCTCTTCTTCCTCCCATCCTTTCCCCGTTTTTCCCGCACTCGGGGCCATTCCCACAGCAATCCCCGGGTCACCGGAGCATTTCCCGCACCGTTTGACGCCCGTGTGTGCTGTGCTCCCTCGCAGGGAAGACGCCGAGGCACCCAAGGCTCATCTCGTCAAACCCAGCTCCTCCTCCTCGGGCTCCCGCAGCTCCCGCTCGGGTTCCTCCTCCACCCGGTCCACAGCCAACAGTGCCTCCCGCAGCCAGCGGACTTTGTCCACCGAAGCCACTCCTCACCTCACCCCGCCCCAGTACAGCCAGCGGCAGCTGGACAGGAAAGAGGAACCCAAAAAAGCCGATTACAACCACCTGGTGAAGGTGGCAGTGCCGGCCGCGATGGTGCCCGCGCAGAGCCGCGCGTTCCAAACCGTGTGAGCATCCCCGGAGCGTCCGTGCCCCGCAGCGCCGCTCGCACAGCACCGGGGAAAGGCCGAACATTGCCACAGCATCGGGGGAATGCGAACATTGTCACGGCACCGGGGAAATTCAGACATTGTCACAGCACCGGGGAAAGGCCGAACATCATTGTCACAGCACCGAGGAAATGCGAACATCATTGCCACAGCACCGGGGAAATGCGGACATCATTGTCACAGCACCGGGGAAAGGCCGAACATCATTGTCACAGCACCGAGGAAATGCGAACATCATTGTCACAGCACCGGGGAAATGCGAACATTGTCACAGCACCCGGGAAATGCGAACATTGCCACAGCACCGGGGAAATGCGAACAGTGCCACGGCACCGGGGAAATGCGAACATCATTGCCACAGCACCCGGGAAATGCGAACATTGTCACAGCACCGGGGAAATGCGAACATTGTCACAGCACCGGGGAAATGCAAACATTGTCACAGCTTCCGGGAAATGCCAACAGTGCCACAGCACCGGGGAAATGCGAACATTGCCACAGCACCGGGGAAATTCAAACATTGTCACAGCACCCAGGAAATCCCTCAATCGTCACAGCACCAGGGAAATGCCTCAATCGTCACAGCACCGGCCTCTCAGCAGCGCTAGGATAGCGAGGGCTGCTCCTGGCAGCTCCATCGGGATCACTCGGGACTGTTCACAGCGCCAGAACCCTCCCACTCCTTTCTGAGCATCACCGAGGTTCAGACCCTTCTGATTCTGACACAGAAAGATTTGAGAAAGATCTTAAGGAAAAAAAGAGAGCTTCTTTTTAAATTATATTTTTTGTTGTTTTTTTTCCTTTGAAAATGAGCATTAAAAACCTACGGCAGCAAAGCTGTGCTGTCAAATGAAACAGTGTGAGTGAAAAGAAGCCAACCCTCTGATTCTGATAGAGAAAGATTTGAGAAAGATCTTAGGGAAAAAATATTGGAGGGAAAAGGGATCTTCTTTTAAAATGTTATTGTTGTTTTCCCTTTGAAAATGGAACACTGAGCATTAAAACCCTACAGCAGCAAAGCTGTGCTGCTGAGTGAAACAGAGTGAGTGAAAAGAAGCCAACCCTCTGATTCTGATACAGAAAGATTTCAGAAAGATCTTAAGGAAGAATTATTGGAGGGAAAAGAGAGCTTCTTTTTAAATTATATTTTGTTGTTGTTTTTTTTCCCTTTAAAAATGAGCATTAAAAACCTACGGCAGCAAAGCTGTGCTGCCGAGTGAAACTGTGTGAGTGAAAAGAAGCCAACCCTCTGATTCTGATAAACATTTAAGAAAGATCTTAAAAAATTCTTGGAGGGAAAAGGGTTCTTCTTTTTAAATTTTGTTGTTGTTGTTTTTCTCCCTTTGAAAATGGAACACTGAGCATTAAAACCCTACAGCAGCAAAGCTGTGCTGCCGAGTGAAACTGTGTGAGTGAAAAGAAGCCAACCCTCTGATTCTGATACAGAAAGATTTCAGAAAGATCTTAAGAAAGAGTATTGGAGGGGAAAGGGAGCTTCTTTTTAAATTATATTTTTTTGTTAGGTTTTTTCCCTTTAAAAATGAGCATTAAAACCCTACGGCAGCAAAGCTGTGCTGCCGAGTGAAACTGTGTGAGTGAAAAGAAGCCAAACCTCAGGATTTTTTAAAAGGGATCAGCAAAGACTTAAAGATGCCTAATATTCCAGAGAGGTTCTGTGGGCAGGGAGAAGTCTCTTGGACTGGGTTTGGGGATGTTTCTCGAGGATGTGCTGTCTTAAGGGAAGATGTTGAGGCTGAGGGTGTCCAGCCAGGTGCTCCACATTTTCTGCATTCAGTGCAATACTGGAGGCTTTAACTGAAGTGGAAATGAAAGGATCACTCCCAAAGGACAAGAGATGAAGCATTAAGGTGTCTGAACTAAACTCCACTAAAGACAAAGGACCTTTTCTGCCAAGAAAACAGAGGTGCTTGAACTGCCAGAATAAACTTCGGGCCAGGAGCCTGACTCTGCTTCCAGGGGCAGCCCTGCAGGGCCACGAGAGCCCCTGTGAGCCTCAGAGAGAGGAGAACTGGGCACTGAACCCAGCAGGGAGGCAGTGCCCACAGGGGGGGCACCAAGGGACCAGAAAGCCTGGATGGAGCCTTGGGAAGAGCCCCCAGTCGCTGCCAGCTGCAGGAGAGGCCAGGTTTGGGCTGGAGAAGCCTTAGGGAAAGTTCTCAGCCAGACCAAGGGAGCAGCAGCTGAGCCCAGGGAAGGCCTGCAGGGTTCCCTGGCCGAGGAAACACACCTGGGACAGGTAAACAAGCACAAAATGCTGCTCCCATCAGGACACCCTTGTGTGAGCTCTCCCACTTCTACACCAAATGCTGGGCCAGGGCTGAGGCTCAAACCTTTAGCAGGACTCTTAAAAAATGGCAAGAATTGTAAAAACTATTTTTTGTGAGCAACCAGGTTAAGCATTTCCACAGAATATGAAGTTAGGGCAGGATGGGAGGTAGGGGCAGATGCAGAATTCTGTCACTGATTTCCCTCTGAAGGACTTGGCTCTGAGCACTGCTACACACAAGACACTGAGCTTGTAGGTTCTAGGTTCCTGTATCCCTGGACTGGTGATTTTCTGTTTCAAAATTAGGGTGTTTGGGTTTTTTTCCCCCTCTGGAGGGAGGGAAAGGGTTTCTCCAATTTGTGGAAAGAGCCTACAGAAGATGGCTGAGCACAGAACCACAGATCTGTAATCCTTGCACTCCAGGACTGTCATTAATCTCCTTTTCTGACTGAGACCCAGAATTTCCAATTTCTATACTTCTAATTTCTGTACTTCTAATTTCTATACTTCTAATTTCTGTACTTCTAATTTCTATACTTCTAATTTCTATACTTCTAATTTCTATACTCCTTTGACAACCTGATCAAAGCCAAGCCCTGCTTGGGCTACTTCCACATGGGAAAGAGTTGCCAAACTTGCCCTGCACTATGTGAGAACTCCCCTTCCTAGGAGCAGTCCCTCAAAATCCCACTGCTTTCTCTACCCTAGATTTAACCCTTGGCAGGACAAATTCCCGGTGCTGTGCAGGGAAAACCATCCCAGTTTCAATAAGCCCTGGCATGAGGGTTTTGACAAGCTGCTCCTGCTGGGGGTGGATGCTCTGTCCTGGATTCCATCCTGGCCCAGCTGGGTGGGAAGCAGCAGCTCTGGGATCCCTCTGCACTTGGTTTTCTCCTGAGCCCTGAAGGTTCAGGTGCTTCAAAGCACTCCTGAGCCACTCCAGAGCTGGGAAAATGCCAAAAGGAGGCACAGGATGGTGAGAGGAGCCTGGGGGTTGTTCTGTGGGTGCTCACAGTGCTGAACATTCCCTGTGCTGCGCCTCAGCGGTGGCTTCTCCTTCAGCCAGGTTTTATCAGAGAACTTATCACACCTGAGATAGCCCAGCCACCCCAAACGGCACCAAATCAGCAGGATGGCTTCTGTGGTAGGGCTGGAAACAGGAAAAAGATTTAATAAAAGGCAAAATAACAAAGCTCTTACAGAGAAAAAACGAGCCAAGGGCAAGAGGCTCTGGCTCCTGCTAAAACCTCCCACAAAATGGGGTTCTCTTATTTTTCTAGTTCTCTTCTCTTTCTAGTTCTCCACTATTTCTAGTTCTCTTCTCTTTCTAGTTCTCCTCTATTTCTAGTTCTCTTCTTCTTCTAGTTCTCCTCTATTTCTAGTTCTCTTCTTTTTCTAGTTCTCCTCTATTTCTAGTTCTCTTCTTTTTCTAGTTCTCTTCTCTTTCTAGTTCTCCTCTATTTCTAGTTCTCCTCTATTTCTAGTTTTCTTCTTCTAGTTCTCCTCTATTTCTAGTTCTCCTCTATTTCTAGTTCTCTTCTCTTTCTAGTTCTCTTCTCTATTTCTAGTTCTCTTCTCTATTTCTAGTTCTCTTCTCTATTTCTAGTTCTCTTCTCTTTCTAGTTCTCCTCTATTTCTAGTTCTCTTCTTTTTCTAGTTCTCTTCTCTTTCTAGTTCTCCTCTATTTCTAGTTCTCCTCTATTTCTAGTTCTCTTCTTTTTCTAATTCTCTTTCTGTTCTTTTTCTAGTGAATTACCCAGGCCAGACCTCTTGGCCTCTGTCCACTCAGCCAGCCCCAGCTCTGAGGTGAAGTCCAAAAGCTCCTATGAGGCGTCTTTGTACCAAAACGAGACAGAAACTTCTGGGCTTTTTGCCTTTTTAAGCAGACAAAGAACAATTCGGCCACTCTGCCAGCAAAGGGGACATTCCCCCACCTGAGCATCCTCACCCTGAGCACAGAGGCCCGGGAGGGCTCTCCCTGAGCCCCCAGGAGCTGCTCAGCACAAACCCAGCCCGGCAGCCCCAACAGCCTGGGAGCCCAAGGGGCAGCCTTGATCCCAGCCCGGGCTGGCAGTGAGCAGAGAGGAGCCTCTGCAGCCTGCAGGGAGCAGAATCCGCCCTGGCAGGAATTCCTGGAGCCCTTGGGCAGCCTCTGCTGCTGTGGAATTCCTGCTGAGAGCTCTGGGGGCTTGGGGAGGGTCAGGCACAGGGGCAGTGCCTGAATCCTGCTCTGGATGGAGCCTCTGCAGCCTGCAGGGAGCAGAATCTGCCCTGGCAGGAATTCCTGGAGCCCTTGGGCAGCCCTGGCAGCCTCTGCTGCTGTGGAACCTCGTGCTGAGAGCTCTGAGGGCTTGGGCAGTGCCTGAATCCTGCGCTGGGGGATCCATCCTGGCTGCTCCAGGCCCTGTTGGCTCAGAATTCCCAGGCCCTGGGATGGATGAAATTCTTGAAATCGCTTTTTCAAATAATTTTATACTTTGCTGTTTGAATAGCTTCTAAACGAGGGCTAGCATCCCTCCTTAGGGTGCTGAGGCTGTTTCTGTTCTTTTTACAGCATAAAATAGTTTGTGTGAAAGGTTAACACAAAATGCCCTTAAAGCTACTATTGCCCCCCAGTCTAAAGGGTGAAAAGTTAACATAAAATGCCCTTAAATCTACTATTGCCCCCCAATCTA